GTTTGGAGATGGGCAATTCTGCATGCACTGTTTGTGTCTGATTTGTTTTGCCTTGATTTGATTTGTTTTGTTGGAGATAGCCTCAATACGTAGAAGAGGCTGGCCTTGAACTAATGATCCTGTTGCCTCAGCCTCTAAATGTGACTACAGACACATGCTGCCACATTTGGCTATATAGGGTGGGCTTTGGTTTTTATTTTTTAGTTGTTTTAATTTTAGTTGCTTTATTTTAGATGGATGAGTATTTTGCCTACATGTATGTAGGTGTACCACGTGCTTACTTGTTGGCAGTGGAGGTCAGAAGAGGGTGACAGATCCCCTGGAACTGCAGTCACAGATGGTTGTGAGCCACCTTGTGGGTGCTGGGAACTAAACCCAGGCCTTCTGCAAGAGCAATGCATGCTCTGAACCACTGAGCTATCTTTCTAATCCTTTAATTTTAAAAATAAAAAAGTATCTTTTTAAAATTAATGACTAAAGAGATGGTTCGGCAGTTAAAAGCACATACTGTCCTTGCAGAGGACCCAAGTTCAGTTCCCAGAACCCACATCACATTGCTAATAACTGACATGTAATTCCTGTCCCAAGGGATCTGATGCTCCTGCCTTTCTGTCTGTCTCTCTGTCTCTCTGTCTCTCTCTGTCTTTCTGTCTCTCTCTGTCACACACACACACACACACACACACACACACGCACGCACGTACGTAAAAATAAAATTAGGAAAAACTGTATGTCCTTGCTGGGTGGTGGCATGTTGTCCGTGTGCACATGTGACAGCAGAGAACAATCTGAGACAGACAGGTCAGGTGCCCTCTTCCATCGTGTGCATCTGGGTTACTGAACTCAAATTCTCAGGCTTGGTAACAGGTGCCTTTAACCAATGTGTTGTCACCCATATATGGTGTTTTTAAAGATCAAAGCACCTTCCCATCAGTCCTCTGGACAGTCAGCTTTTCTCTCCAGTTCTAGTAAGAAAGCCAGTAATTCCATCCATGATTGGGACCACTGATGCTCTGACAGGGCCAGAAGAAGTTCTTTGGGAAATACAAGCTTCCTAGCTTTTGGGTGACTCCCTCCTACACAAGTCAGCCACAATCCCAGCTTGGAAAAAAATCTTCTAGTGTCCAGTTTGAGGTTCACTGATGTCCTCAGAGGCAGTCCTACAAGAATTGGATCTGACCTTGACTTCCTCCTAGCCTCTCTACCAAGAAAAAAGGTCTAAATGTGGCCACTTGTCTGAGTCCCTATCATTCTGACCTGCTTCTCCAGAGCTCTTTCTTCCTAATTGGATTTTGCAGAGCTGAACGTAGTCTATAGGTTTCACCTGGCCAGGGGCAAAGAATAGGGTAGCAAGTACGGCCTTTTCTCCTTATTCATCTCTTCATTCAACAGTATTTCCTGAATGAGCACCTGAACTACGGCAGGAGCCAAGCCAGAGTCAGATAACAAGCAGGAAAGAAAGGTGCTATCTGGCAGACCTTCCAGCCCAAGGGCAAAGATCCCCTTAGACCAGCTCTGATCCATTAGTGTCTCACACCTCCATGCCCCTCTTTCTACCTGCTGCCTGCTCAATCTATTCTATACCTCCAGGGGAAGTGCAGAGGAGAACAGCCTTCCTAGCCTGGTGGGTTTGTAGCACCCAGTGCCACTGCTTGCAATAGAGAAAACCTCTCACCTCTTCCCATGTGTTGCTGTCACCCAGAGTCACGTCCTCTAGAAAGGTCCCTGTACCTGTCTGCCTCCTCCACTTGCCCACAGGCATTTCTGACGGTGTTTCAGTCCCAGCCAAGTAAACAGCAGGGATGAAAAGCCAAATACAGCAGGCTACACTGCCCACATTGAGGCTCCACTCTGCCCTCTGCAGAGAAGGGTTTGCCTCCCTCCTCAGCAGTGTCCATGCCTTGGAGGGAGCAGCCATCTCCTCCTGGGCATCATGGCTACCCTGAAGTCTCAAATGTTGTCCAAAGGAAGGATCAAGAAGTGTTTCTGGCACAAGTATGACCAGTAACTCAAATGTAAGCCTAATTCTTGGAATTCCCTTAGATACTGACAACAGATTGCAGAAAAGATTCGAGGCTCAGATCTTCTTGCCCAGTACTGATTCTGTGAGCAACAGGCAGATAAGCTCATACTCCCGGTGTCTTTCCCCCTGATTAGGTGAGTGACAGGCACATATTCCCGATCCACAAAAACTAATGTGCTGCTCTTGGCCACAAAGTCTACTGTGCTAAAACTCTCTGAGGTGTTTCTTCCTAGAACAGCAAAGCCACTCTAGAAAGAGCAGCAAATTCCTAGTGTAGATAAGAACTGTTATCTCTCTGGCCATCAGGTCAACAGTCCAGCAGCTAGCTGCACAGCAGGGTAGGTTTAGGGTTACCACACAGCTTGAGTGTGTATTTTATTTGTACTTTAACAAAACCTGAAACCAAATACAACAAAAGGAGGCTAATGTTCTAATTAAGAATGGCCTCAGGCTAGAGGGATGGCTCAGTGGTTAGGAGTGTTTAGGCTTTTCTAGAAGACCCGAGGTTTGGTTCTCGTCGCCCACAGCTCACTAGTGCCATAACTCCAAGGTCTCTGGCATGCACAGACACCTGCACTCACATGCACATACTGACACAGACACACACCTAAAAATAAAATAGATCTTTAAAAAAAAAGAGCCTCTGACAGAAAGCTGGAGCTAGTTCTGAGGTGGGGACATGGTATATTGGTTTGCCCAGAAAGGGTTAGGGAGGCATTTTCCTAACATTCCAGAGAGGTGCTGGCAGGATCTGCTTGGAGCCTCAGAGAAGCAGAGTACCTCAGGAGCATGCCGATGGGGAGAAACACAGAAGTAACTTTGAGAAGCATCGCTGTTGTGATGATGACCGCACAGTGCTTTCAATAGACTAAAACACTGTCTTAAATATTTAATGGGTTGGCTTTATGGTATTTTAATTACATCACAATAAAATGATCAATAAAGATACACACCAACTATGACTATCAGCACGAGCCCTAGGTTCCAGGTTAATGATAGAAATATTTGTCATCTTTGAAAGATTCAAGGCTTTGACCATGGTTTCCTGAGGGTGAAGCTCAGCCCAGTGCTCTCCTGTGCCATTTGCTTTTGGCTGCTAAGGCAATTCCAGGAGTAGAGCAGGAAGGACAGGCATGTATGTCCTTTCTCTCCTCCCTGGGTGTTCCTGTGGGGTGCCCTTTCCCTTTGCAGTGTATCTTCACTAACCCCAGACCTCCCTCTCTCCCTCTCTCCCTCTCCCTCCTTCTCTCCTTCTCTCCCTCTCTCCCTCCCTCTTTCTCTCTCTCTTTCCTTTTGTTTCTTTTGGATTTGTTTGTTTGCTTTTCCCTTGGATAGAGAACCCAGGTAACCTTTGAATTATGGAGCTGCAGTAAGTCTTGCAGCCCATTGATGGAGGGATCTGAGCGCCCTCTTGTGGCCCTTGCAGCTTTGCTGCTACCACTTTGGCCTCAATTTTTTTTCCCAGCGGGATAGCAGAGGGCAGCTTTTCTTCTCAAGAGACAAACAGTTAAAGCTCTGAGATATATATGGCAAAGAATATAAATTAGCCCTAGAATCTAATTTATACGCTAATGCTAGTGTTTTGATTGTGTACTGGCTGTTTGTTTTTAGAAAGGGTCTCTCTAAATAGCTCTAGTTGTCTTGGAACTCTATGTAAAACAGGCTGGCGCTAGCTTTAAACTCACAGAGCTCTGTCTACCTGCCTCTGCCTCCCCAGAGCCGGGGTATAAGTCATGCACTTGACATTCTTTCTTCTTTTAAAAGAAATAGTGTGGCGTAGTGGAAGCACTCAGCCTTTGAAGTTATACAAACTCACCACTGACTCCTTTAGGAATCAAAACCCTCATGTGCAAAAGGAAGTAACCAGTCCAAACTCTTACAGTTCTGTGGGTGAAATTTAATGAAGGTAGCTAGATTCCAGATGGAGTACTCACTGTGGAAGAAGGCGCTCAGGAAATGGTACCTGTCACTACTGTTGCTATTACAGCTACCAGGATCCTCTCTCTGTCTTTGGGAAAATATCCCTAACCCTGACCCCTCTGATTCAAGGAAGTAGAGATTTTGAAAAATAGCCCAAAACAAAAAAAAAAAAAGAGTTTAAATTTTTTTAAAAAAAAGAAAGATAAACCCAGAAGGGCTCTGTCAGAAACAGCTTGGAGCCCAGCTTCACTCCAGTAGAGGAGCCTGGCACTCAGCCTGGCACACGGCTGGAGCCCAGCAAGGCCTGCTTCCTTTCTCTTCCTGTCCCCCTTCAGCTAGATCCCAGAGCAGAGTATGGACTTGGCCTTCCTGTGATCTCTTTACCAACCAAGCCGTTTGTCCTGGAGGGTGCTAGTGGGGAGAGCAGAGGCAGGCGCCTGCTGTGACCGTCACAGCTCCACTAGCTGACGTGCGTTCTCTGGGCACTCTTGTCCACTCTCCACCTCCCACTCCCAGTCCACCGTCTGTGTCCCAGAGTCAGGTGCCCATTGCTGTTCTAGCCATTTGGTAGCTTATTAAGTCTCAGCACCACTTGCCAAGACCCCTTTAAACCTCTTGGCTGTTCTTTTTGCCTTTTCTGATCAGCAGTATTTATTCGGAACTAAATGGTCCTCGCTGCAGAATGAAAGGATTTACTGCTTTAAGTATATGAAAGGAAATCTTGGCTGCATTACAATTGCACCCTCTCTTTGCTGCCTCCACTCCACTCTGCCCATGCTCCATTGACTGGTGCCACCGAGACTGACCTGGGAGCCTGCCCTTGGAGCAGTGTGCTCAGTGCAACTCAGTGACGGAGCTGGATTGATGGAGGTGGGGTGACTGTGGAGGAGCGTGCTTTTGGGACCCTTCCCCTAATATGCTGCAGTCCTAGGAAAGACGGGAGGCCTAGAAACAACTTGTTCGTGTATAACCTTTGCCTCTGTCAGTCTGACCTTTTGTCCTCCAGGCAGACACATGTGACCCCCGCTCTGTCTCAGGTCCTCTCCCTCTTCCCCAGGATTGTGCTCATGGACGATGCCATGGACTGCTTGATGTCTTTCTCAGATTTCCTCTTCGCCTTCCAGATCCAGTTTTATTACTCAGGTGAGAAGGTTCCAGGCCCCGTGTGGCTTTTGCCGGGGACCTTGTCTCCCTTTCTCATCCTGTTGTCTTTACCGTCTGTGTGCCTGGCACACACGGTTTCCATCCCCACTTCCTTTAGAGGTATGCTTCATCATGGCCCACTAACAGGATGGCTCATATGCACTGGTGGTCACAGGATGCAGTCTGCCAAGCCTACTGAGGAAACTGAAAAAACACACTGCTTCCAGTCAGCAGCTCAAAAACAAATCCACTTAAGTGATAGCATCAGTAAGGACACCAATAGCATTCACTCATCAAAAACTTACTACCTCCCAGCTGCAGCACTGAGGACTGTAGTCTGTCACTAGTCCTAAGAGATAAGTTTATAGAGGTTAGAACCCAGACCTGAGTCAGGCGGTGGTGGCACACGCCTTTAATCCCAGCACTTGGGAAGCAGAGGCAGGCGGATTTCTGAGTTCAAGGCCAGCCTGGTCTGCAGAGTGAGTTCCAGGCTAGCCAGAGCTACACAGAGAAACCCTGTCTCAAAAAAAACCAAAACCAAAAAAAAAAAAAAAGAACCCAGACCTGTGCTTTTAGCCACCCCCTTGGTCCTTGATCACCAGTATCACCAGTGACCTGTCTTTTACCATACTCATAGCTTTTAATAAACACACAGCAAACCAGACACAATGGTACATGATTGCAATCAAAGCTACACAGACAGACACAGACAGACAGACAGACAGACAGACACACACACACACACACACACACTATCTCAGGCTTACATTCTGCTCCCCAGTTCATGCCAGTTTCACCTTTAAGCTCCTTCTGACTTAGTAGAATAAAAACAGATGAATAAGTAAATATGTATATACCTCAAATGTGAGTGAGTACAAATTACAAATTCTTACATCCATAAAGAAAGGCATAAAGAAATCTACCTTTGGAGCTTGGAGATCATCTTCTGGCCAACCAGTGCTTAAACCAGCTTTGGTGCCATATTATGTTTTCTTGATGACAGCTCAAGGGCTGTTCAGGCAGGATCACACCACCTGTTCCTGGCAGCAACAGCATCTATGTCTCGTTTCTTTGAAGCTCTTGGACCTTAGGGAAAGAACAGCCATGTTTGGGAGAATTCCCCTCCTCTAATATACAGGATTGGGGGTGAGAACAGGCAATAAGTCATTGTCACCAACAACAGTGTGCCTGCAAAGCTTGGAGAACAGATTCAACTTCAAATGATTAATAAATTAGCAGTTTGTAAGGTCCTCTCCTCCTCAGTGATAGTTTTTATTTTCTTTCAAGGTATATTGATTACACTAAAAGAGGCCCAGTCTGGGCAGTAACAAGGGTACTTTCTACAGCCTCCAGTACACTTTCATGAAGCAGATGGCCTCATGAAATGGGACTAACCAGTGAGAATGTACATGTGTTCACTTAAAACAAAACTTACAACATTTAACACATACCAGCATAGTATTAGGCACTGGGACAGGAGACATCATCAGGGCATGACCCCTGCCATTGGTCAAGGATCTTACATTCCAGCAAGGAAACAGATAAGCAAATAATCACATAGCACACTTGTCATTGAGTAAGGTACTCTGCACGTATGCAGTGGGGTCCCTATTTAGTCTAGGAACTGTCCCAGGTGAAGCCCATGGGAGTGTCATGAGAGCAGTAGTCACTCCAGATATTTTTGCATCTACACTGAGGCTGAACAGACTGAACTATAAGAGAAGGGAAGACATGGTGAAAAAATGAAATACGACCTCCTTGCCTAAACTGTTGCTTCCTATTCCTGTGGTACCAGAATTCCTGGAGAGTGTGGCTGCCATCTATCAGGACTTGCTGTCAGGGAAAAACCCCAATACAGTGATTGTCCCAACATCATCCAGTGGGCAACACCGCCAAAGACCTGCCTTGGGTGATGCTGGTATGCTGGATGGAGTGGAAGCATCACTGTTCTATCAGCGCCTGGAAAACCTGTGTGACCGGCACAAGTACAGGTGGGCATGGGCAGAGGCCCCACCTCAGCCCTGGAGATGAGGTTGCTGCTGAGAACAAGTCTCTAGCAGAATATTTTGATTGGTTCAGGGTTTCTATGGCCCAGGATGGTCATGATTTTAAAACATGCCCATCAAACATGTCTCCCCAAAGCAGGTAGCTCACCTTCACCCAGTGAAGACTAGCTGAAGTGACTGGCTTACTAAGGGAAGACTAGCTTCGGCTACTTGAAAGGGAAACATTCACAGAAAGGGAAGGTTAAACTGTCCTGTACGGCAAAAAAGATCCCTGAGGGACATAGCCTCCAGGCAAAAAGCTAACAGTAGCTGTGTCCTCTTCCCCTCTCTCCTAGGTTCCCTGTAACAGAGTTAGCAACGGGGGTAGGATGTGGCAGAGCGCATGCTCCATCTCTAATTCCACCAGATAAACAGCAGTGAGCATCCCAGCCCTCTGTCTGCAGTCTGGCCCTGCTCCTGCAGGTGTGGACAAAAAGATAACACCTAGAGTTGAACCTAGCCTCCAAATTCTCCCTTTTAGCTGTCCACCACCAGCGCTTGTCAAAGAGATCCTGAGCAATGTCCAGAGACTGACTTTCTATGGATTCCTTGTGGCCCTCTCAAAGCATCATGGGATCAACCAAGCCCTGGGTAAGCAGAGCTCTTTGTGATCATCTGTGCTCCTCCCAACAACACAGGAAACAGCTGGCCTATCAGCATGGCCCTACAGTGGTAGGATGACGCTGTCTCTGATTTCTCCAGCCTGGAAGCTGCAGTGTGCATACTCTGCCTGTGCCTAAGAGGTCCCTCACGTTCCCATGTGACTGATGTGACTGACAGCCTTCTGCCCTGCCCCAACATGAATGAACTGCTGCTCTGTTTCATGGCATAGGCCTGCCAGCCCCTCCCTACAGAATCTGGTTCTGCTCTAAGGAGTGGCCTGCAGGTTGGGCTGATACAAAGCTATTTACCCAGTGATTCTGGAGATTATGTATCAAAGCAACCTGGATCCCATTTAGAAACAGGGCAAAGGTGTGTCTGGGAGGTGTTTTTTTCCCAGCTGTGAATGAGAGCAGGGTGGGGGGAAGAAATCTGATAAATCTGAAAAAGAAAAAAAGTAGAGACTGGCTCAGTTTTAATACCTATCATTTGTATCCTCACGGGCTGGCACCCACTGCACCCCTCCCCCATGCACAACCACTCCTCTCCCAGGTAGGGCCCAGCAGGCCGCGCCTGCTCTGGAGGTTTGTTGATTTTTGTTGTTTTGAGGTAAGGTCTCATTGTGTCTATAGCTCTGTGTATCCTGGAATATACTAAGTCAACCAGACTGGCCTTGAACTCAGAGATCTGCCTGCCTCTGCCTGCAAGTGAGTACTGGGATTAAAGGTATTTTAGTAAGTTTTAAGCACTATTTATGTTTTTGCTCAGGAGACTCTCCTTGTGTGATTAGATCCAAGTTTCTCAGTCTCTGACACAAGGCATTCCTCCCCATCTGTGCCAGTTTAGAGAATGTCATCGAGGGAAGGGCAGTTAACTAACATCTACTAAATGCCTAACACAGTGGGCCAGAAGCTGTACTGGAACCTTTATGCTTATTTCTGTATACATACATCTGCCAGAGTTCTAGAGGAGACAGGCGAGCTAATTAATCAGTCAGAAGCTTGGTTACTCCAAGTCAGGGACCTGCTCAACTAAGATTCATAACCAAGATTGCTGGACTAGGGCTAGAGAATGGGCCCACTGGGAGTCAGATTCAAGAGCCAGTGGGGACTCTCAAGCTGTTCTTTCACAGTCCAAGGAACTGACCACTTGTCAACCAGTGACTTCTGCAAGCAGGTAAAAGAAAAGCTATTAGCAATGATCACTGCCTGCGTTGACCTCACCCCTCTGCTCAGGCTGTGCTGCCGCACACCTTCAGTACCAGCACTCAGGAGGTAGAGGCAGAAGAAGGCAGATCTCTATGAATCTCTGTGAGGCCAGCCTGGTCTACAGAGTTTCAGGATAGCCAAGAATACTGTTTCAACAACAACAATAATAATGGAAGGAGGAAAGGAAGGAAGGAAAGAAAGAAAGAAAACAGAAAAGAAAAGACCTTTCTGAAGGGAATAAAAAGGAGCCTTGTGCAATGTTCTCTAAGTACTGATTAATGGCTAGTGTGTAGAATAAGCAGTGATAGAAGGCAGCATGTGTTAGAAATAGGAACTTGGAAATACCCTGGTTCAGTTTGTGGAAGACTGTAAGGTATCCCTGAAACACCCCACAAAAACATAAGACGAATCACCTGATGCCTCTTAGAAGAATCAGTGCCGGACACATTTGAGTCTTTCTGAAGCCCAGCACCACTGACTATCCAGTCTAGGAACTAAACTACCATTAAGCCCTGTTCTTTCAATGTTTATTGGTGACAATCTTCTTCTCTGTAAATTTCTATCCCTCAAACAAATTTCAATTGTATTTATCCCTAGCTACCAAAAAGAGAAAAAGAAAAGAAAAAATGGAAAAGGAGAAAGAAAATTTAAGTGGGGAAGCACTCAAGACTCTTCACACACTTCCCAATAGTATCACACTTCCCAATAGTATGCCCTCATGGCTGAGGAAACCAATCCAGACAGATGCTAGTATCAGACCTCAGCATGGGACTGCTTTCCTCCCCACTAGAAGCTGCAATTTTAACACATCTCCACATATCCCCTGACTTGGGGACATACGATTGGCTATTTCCTACCCCTGGAGTTAGCTTAGGCCATTATCATCCAGCTCAGCACCTGGGGCCTCAAGAACAGAATACCCAGTGCTGGTCATAAACCACCTCCAATCTTGTAAGGGGATTGATCACCTATTTGTAGATACCTCCTTAGCTGTCACTCTTGTCCCAAATGAGGAAGGGAAAATAGTGAGACTCACTAAATTTATAAAGTGGTACCCAAGACTTCATGTTCCACATAAACTAGTTGTCAGACATGAAGACAAAGGGCAAAGTATCTGCTGCCTGGTTGAAGGGCCCTCATGTTTTATAACTTCACTCCAAATCCTTGTCTTCTAGGAGCTTTGCCTGACAAAGGAGACCTGATGCATGACCCAGCCATGGATGAGGAGCTGGAACGGCTGTAAGTGTCAAATGGGAAGATGCTGCCCTCTTGTGGAACTCAAATCTGTCAGATGTGGCTGTGCCCCAACTGTAGGCAACACAGCACTTTGTTTTCAATACCCCATACTGGTCAGGGAAAGGCTTGGGGCCAGGAAAGAAGAGAAGTCCTTGGGGCTTTGCTGAAGTCTAAGAGTAAGTGTAGAGGCCCTGATCTCTGAATAGGAGACTCATCACATCACCCTCTGGGCTTCTTTCCTTCTTCAGGCTGGTCCAGGTCCCAGGCCTGGTCAACTCCATCACTGCCACTTCTGAGGCCAGCTGCCTGCCTTCCCGAACCCCTCCCCGGGTTGGTTCCCCATGGAAACCCCTCCATCGCTCCCGCAAATTGGATGCAGAGAGCGATGGCTCCACTGAAGAGACAGATGAGTCTGAGACTTGAATCTGAAGGGTTCCATCTGTGGCCTGTACCTTGTTCCCACCACCCTGCTTTTGCTGCCCTTACCAGACTTCTCCAGCATCACTGTGCCGCCCTCAGCTGGAGAAAAGGGTGAATAACAGCCCTAGTAAAACCAGCCCAGTTCAATGATCCCAGAATTCCCTAACTCATGCTCTCAGCGCAACCCGTTGGGCCCTAAGCTGACATACTGTCCCAAGGCCACTTCATCACAGAGAAAGGTGTTGGCTTTAGTCTTCTGTTGGCAGGGCTGCTTATGCTTTAAGTACAGTGTCGTCTCAGCCAGCCCATGATCCTCCTAGTAAGGGTAATTTTTCACAGCAGCTCTTACAAGGGAAACATGAATTAGTAATGCAGGGTCTACATGTTGGAGGGTGATTCCTGAGAGCATGTGCTGGGAAGATGTATCAACTGGCCTTCTACTGGAGAGATCGGCCACTAGCAGGAATAAGAGGGAGGATGGGCAAGAACTTCACTTTCAAAATCTGCTTCAAGTTTGTATCAAATAGTCAAATCTGTGAAATGAATAAAGTCCCTTGTGTCTGGTAAGCAATGAGTCTAAAGCCAGTAGGCTCCGGGGAGGGAAAGGGAAAGTGTGACTTGGGTGCTTTTCTGACTGGATGGGAGGTGGGACCTGGGGGCCATTCCAGGATGGAGACCTGCCTTAGCTGACAGAGGACCTGGCCTCCTACAGATGAGGACAGCCGTTCAAAGCAGGTGTTCTGAATATGGCCTGAGTATTCGGTCAGGTTCTCTCCTATGAGACTGTGGCCACAAGAACTAGATAGAGCTGCACAGCCTTTTCCAGAGTTCCATTAGATGTCTGTGAAGACCAGGCCCCAGGTTAGGGCAGTGGTGCACATCTGTGCAAAGCAGGCCTAAGGTTTTGGAGCAGAGACTGGAAAAGGTCAGAGGTGAGCTTCATCTTTCTTGAATGAGATAGATCTCTGCAAAATAAAATTCACTAAGGAGTCATGGCAGAACAGGCTACCTGCTCCAACTAAGGCCGATGCCACCACTTACTGGACACGACTGTCCTGCATTCTTCCCTGCCAATGGATGATTGCAAGTGGCTTCCAAAAGCCGTGTGGTGCCAAGGCTACCTACGGGCATATGAGTGAGCCCTCAAAGGTTCCTCAAATTTTGATGTGTATCAGAACCACTGAGAAGTTTGTCACAGTGCCAGTTACCAAGCCGGAGTCTTACTATACCAAGTTGGGGTTGGAAACAGAAATCATGTATTTCAAACACCCTAGATAATTCCAAGGTACTAGAAAGAGCTTGGAACGTGGCTCTCTATACCTGACTTTCTAACCCTCCATTTCCCAGAGTGGCTTCTAACTGTACAGTGCTGAGGAGTTCCAAGGACAAAGTGGCCCTGTAAGAGAGGGGTTTATACATGGCATCTCTAACTCTTCCAATATATATAAAGTCTGAATCTTTAAAATGCATTTCCAAGCCAGGCATTTTAGTACATGCCTGTCATTCAGCACCAGGGCTGAGACAGGAGGATTTCAAGTACAAAGCCAGTCTGGGCTATGGAGACAGTCTCAAAACAAAAATAAAAACAGACCTCCGATGACAAACAGGTCCCTGTCTGCCTCCTGTGATGAGGTGCTGAACCGCTGAGGTTGCAGACAAACTAAAGGGCCAACTAACACCACCTCTTTCCTCCACGTGCAACAGGGTGGTGAGGTCGAGGCTGTACCGGACCCCGCGGCAGCAAAGGGGCAAGGAGCCAGGGGCCTTTGGCTTTCAGAGAAGAGACAAGCTGGAGGCCCTGGAGAGAGTGCCCTCAGCTTTGGCACCAACGCCCAACTCATATCGGTGGGAGCCCAGAGAGTGAGCGAAGGGCCACACTGGGCAGGGAGGCAGGACGGAGAGGACACTGACCCACAGGGCCCCGTGGGGGCTTTATTTTGACACCACTTTGTTTCAATACAAACAGTGCTGAAAGAAAGTCATGTCCCTCTGGGGAGGGATGAGGGAAGAGTGGTCTGTGTTGTTTGGGAGCCCAACCTGCAATCCACAGGTAGAAGTTGAGCCCAGACTGCCAGCATGGCAGGGTGAGATGGCACCAAGGATGACACAGTGCGTGGCCCAGCTGCCAGTGAATGGAGCCCGCAGCTGCAGGTCCTCACACTCTCACTGGTTGATGGTTGATGGTGTGCTGTCCAGGACCCCTAAACCCAGGACGATGCAGAGGATGAAAGCTGAGCTCCGTGGGCTTCTTTCTCTCAGAGTCTCAGCTTCCTCGGCTGAGAAGTTCCTAGCATCCAGGCAGGACACACAGATGAGACTCACCATGGGGCCAAGCAGGACACAAAAAGAGGATCTCAAGCATAGACAGGGGTGCTGTGACCCACAGTAATGGTAGATAAAGGCTCTCAAACACCTAAGCAGAAGTCAGCTTCTAAGTGACAGCTGTGACAACGGAAGATTGGTCAGGCCTCCGGGCTGATCCCAAATAAAACCTTCAGGTACCAAGCAAAAGTTCCAGCTCTTTGTGAGCTACCACGGTCCTCCTAACCCATCTTTCCCTGGAACCCAGAAGAGGCCACTGACAGCAACAGCAGTGGCAAGTCCAGAACTTCTCCCTGAGGGCTGATACAGCTCAACTCGTGCTAGGCCTCCCCTGTCTCTAGAAGATGGAGGCCCAAGCCCCCAGACCACTTACAAGGATCCTAGAGCCTGCAAGAGCCTTATGCCTTCCCTCCTTGGGGAAGAACTAGACCCATAAAGCCATCCTGATGAACTCTGCCCCTCACTCCCAGTGCAGCAGGCCAAGCAGCAGCAGCTCTGGGGCAGGACTGGAAGGAAGGACAGACACTAGCATGGAGGGAGAGTGTGAAGGGGTGAGGACAAGGACTCAATGCACAGGCTGAGGACAAGGGCTGATGCCGACCATTCCCCTCTAAGATCCTCCCAAGTCATCCAACTCACACACCACACACAAAGTCAACAAATCCCCAGATCCACGAGACAGCCATCTCTGGCCTGGGAATCAGGGTTCTTGCTGTCACCACCACAGGCCTGAGCCATGGAGCCTGTATCAGTAGGAACCGTAGCGATCCTGAGTGGGGAGAATAAAAACACAAAGTCAGTCTCTGATCAGCAGGAGCTCCCCAGTGTACACAATGCCTCCTGAGCGCACCCACAGCAGAACTAGGGCTGGTTGCTGCAGAGGGCTGGGGACCCCCATGTTGGAAGTATGTGATGGAAGCTGGGGTGAAAGCCACCTGGATACTAAGGAAAAGAGAAGCCTGCCTGACAGAACCTGGGAGGGAAGAGAGAGCAGTAGAAGTTACAAGCTTAGCCAAATCAGTGCAGGCCCGTTATCACCTTAGGGAGAGGCTAGCACAAAAACAGGGATGGAGACTAACCCTCCTGCCAAGAAAATCAAGTGCTCTCTAGAGCTGCCCATGGCTGTGAAGCAGTATCTAGATACAGTATAAGGCAAACCTCTTTTCACTTCTTCCCAGGTCCAGTAGCCCAGACTCACCTGTAAAGAATTCATCACACCATTGGCCAGCACAGCCATCTTGCCAGCCACAGACTTGACACCCTGCTTAAACTGGGCAATGTCAGCTGTAGGAAGTACATTCCCCAGAGATACAGTTCCTGTCAAATTAAGGGAAGGGGTGATCAAGAACTCTGCAAGAAGCCCTTCCTAGCAACAGGGCACTCCAGTTGTGCTCATTTGGTGCCTGCAACAACACAGAGGCCCTACCTCCTCCATGAGCTCCATCCACATCCCCAAAAAGGTCTGAAGAGCTGATGGCACTGCTGCCCGAAAGCTGCTGTAACCGAGACCTGGCTTCATACTGTGTTGGAAAAAAGATAAGGTCTGGGCAATCTTTGGCCAGCGATAAAAGAACTGATTTATGCCAAATTATGTTATTCTAATGCCAAAGCCCAAGGACAGACAGGAAAGCTCAGGCTTCTACCTGCTGCTGCCAAGTAGACAACTTCACTAACCTCAGAATCCACTTCTCGACCAAAGAACATGTCAGACGAGATGGCTTTGGCTCCTGCAAACTTCTGACGTGCTTCACTGGACTCAAGACCTGAGCTGCGACTCTCCACTTCCCTCCGACTTGTGGTTCTGTATGGGCAAGTGTAGAACACCTCTGTCCCTTCCCATTACCACCAGGGAAAGTAGAGTGCAGAGACCAAAGAGTGTACCCGTGGCTTTCTGGCCCCAGCTTATCATGTCTATCCTGTGACTTTGAGATTCAAGAACCTTCCCCCCTAGTGAGTTCCTCAGAAAGAATGCCAAGAGCTCCTCTCCCTTTTCTTCACTGAAGCCATCATCAGACAAAGTGGAATATGGTTCCAAGGCCTTAGGCCCACTGTGGTCTCACTAGGACGCAAAAAGAAGGTCCTATCATCACTGCTGCTGTCTTGTCCTACTCAGAATCTGAAGTGACCACATCTGTTTGCCTGGCTTACCCCCATTCTCTTGCCATAACAGTGCCATGATCACTGTCTCAGAATCACACTACTGTGGGTAAGAGGGCCATGCCACTCCACTGATGAGGCACGGGCTCTAGGCTGGGGGTTTTACAACTTTCCTTCCAACAATCCAGTGAAGTTATTGCTTATGTCCTATTTTACAAACGGATAATATATGATAACAAAACATTCATTGTTCATAGGAAGATGGAGTAAGATTTTTAAAAAGTAAGGGGCCTACCAGGTGGAAAACATGGGTTTGATTCCTAATACTGCAGTCAACCAAAACTAGAAGCATATAGCCTTTGGAAGGGACATCAGAACTGAAACAGTAAACCAGGCTCCTCCCACCATAAAACAGATCCCAAGCTAAAAGCTCCTGCCTGTCTAATAAATGGTCACTAGCTGTATGTGGCTATTTACATTTGCTAAGATTACATTAAGAAACATTAAAAATTCAATTCCTCAGCTGCTCTGGCTCAATAGCCACACAGCTAGTGCAGGTATCAAACACTTCCATCACTGCATCAAGCACCGCCTGCCCATGCTACCTTTCTGAAATAGGCCGGATGCTGGAGATGGTAACTTCAGGTTCCTTCTCTTCTACCCTGTCCATACCCCAGGCTGCATCTGAATCCCAGCGGGAACCAAAAGTTTCTCCCAAGGAAAAGGGGTTATCCTTGTACCTAGGGAGATAGCAGAGTAAGCAACTCAGAGAAACCTGTGAAGGAACAAAACAGCCAAGTGTATGCCCCAGTAACAGCCTTACTTTGGGGGTCCAGAAGCGAATGTTCCAACATCATCAAACAAGTCAAGCTGTGAGCGGGAGGATTTTGCACTCAGCGGGGTTTCCTGCTCAATCATCTGCATCTCAGACAGCACAGAGTGGGAGATGGAGCTGTGGAGAAAGCACAGCAGGCCAAAGGCTGGTAATGAGCATCAACTGTTCACAGACCAAGAGCAGAAGCCAGGCTGATGGAGGTTTCCCCAACCACCACCCAGTGTAGCTCCCTGCCTGTGTATTGCACTGGGCCAGCCCAGGCAGAGAACTATGTTCTGAACTGTGTGTAATGACCTGGGTCTCTCAAAAGGCTTTTCCCTAGACCATGGCTATTGATTGTCCTCTTAATAATGTACACCAAATGATGAGTGGTCAGTCTCCGTTCCTCCCTTTTTGGTTTCTGGTTTGCATTTTCTGAGGGGACTGGCTATGTGACCCCGCTCCTCCTTCCTCAGCCTTTCCAGTGCTGGGATTACAGGTATGAGCTGCCATGCCCAGCCCCGTCTCCATCCTTACTCAGAACCTCATCATACCACAGACCCTGTCCTTCCTGAGACCCTGACAGATGACACATGCACAAAGCATGAAACACCAGCTGGTCCTCATGGGATCACGGTGAGTTCTGAATCATTGCTTCTCTTAGAAAAGAGGAAGAAGAAGAAAAGAGTATTATCTCCTAGCCTAGAGTCTGGCCATGCACCAAGACCAGGATCTGACAGTGCTCCCTAAGACCTGGATCTGCCAGTGCTCCCTAGAGTGGGCAACAGCATAGCCAGTGCCTCACTCCTGTCAAGATCTGTCGTGTTCACAAACTCACAAATAGATTCCAAACTGAAAACTCCCAAGGAATGAACATATTGCAACTGGATTTTAAATAAGGTAGACTAGATTTAAGTAAGAGATTCTGCTGCGTAGTAAAAAAAAAAAAAAAAAAAGAGAGAGAGAGAGAGAGAGAGAAAGAAAAGAAAAAAGAAAACAAAGAGGTTAAGAGTACTGGCTACTTTCCCAGAGGACATGTGTGTAATTCCTAGCACCCACATGCAGCTCACAACTATCTAGAACTGTGACCCAGTACTCTATCTCTGACCATCAGTCATCCTTGGCTATGTAGCTACTTTGAGGCCAGCCTGTTCAAAAAAAAGCAAAACAAACAAACAAACAAAAAATCAGCCAGGCCGGGCTGTGGTGGCCCATGCCTTTAATCCCAGCACTTGGGAGGCAGAGGCAGGCGGATTTCTGAGTTCGAGGCCAGCCTGGTCTACAGAGTGAGCCCAGGACAGCCCGGGCTACACAGAGAAATCCTGTCTCGAAAAACCAAAAAAAAAAAAATCAGCCAGGACTAATAAGACCCTGTTTCAAACTAACAAACAACAACAAACAAAACAAAAACAAGAAAACCAGGGCTCACTTCCTAGGACATGGCAGGGGAGAAATGCCTCTAATAAGGTGTTCTCTGACCTTAGGACATGTAGGTCCCATAAGTACACACATACAAATAAAAATATAAGTAAATAAAAATATAGTTTTAAAAGGTTTAGTGAATGATTTAGTGAATGTTGGTAGGAGTGCTCAATGGGTAAAAGCATTGGCTACCAAGTCCACTGGCCTGAGTTAACCCTCTGGGGCCCAGACAGTAACGGGAAAAGATCCGTATAAGTTGCCCTCTGACATCCACCATACACACTGGCACACACATGTGCGCACACACACACAGCAGAAAAAAATTAAATTAAAATTAAATGTAATAATTAAAAAAAAAACCCTTACATACTAATTTTTAAAAAATCAACAACAACAACAAAAAACCCTGATATGGAAATACATTAGAAGCAGAGACAGGAAGATCAGACTCTCAGGGGCCTCATCAGCTATATAGCAATTTCGAAGCCAGCACAACACAGGAAACAAATAAACAAACAAAACCCACATATACTTACATCATACATGAACACGCAAACATTCACGCACACCTGCACGTCACTAATGACACTACTGCTTACACTAGCAGCATACAGACTGAAAGAGAAGGAGGTAATACCAAGTATATGTTCTGAAAGATTACATTACAACAATCAGACTTGCCTTGGAGGGTATAGTAGAGCACACCTTTAATCCCAGCACTTGGGCAGAGGCGGGCAGATCTCTGAGTTAGAGGCAAACATGGTTTACAGAGTGAGTCTAGGACAGCCAGGGCTACATAGTATTAAAAAAAAACAAAACAAACAAAACTACAAGTAATTCAGAACTAAAAGGTCAACTCATTTACCAATTGCTAGGTTTGGAGGAAGCTGCTCAGCATCTGTTTCCTCATCGGCACAGAGGGAACAAGGCCTCCAACCTAGGACTATTATGTCTGAGACGTTTCTCATAGCGAGGCCCTGCCTCCTAGCAAGAGCCGCGGCACAGGCTAATTGCAGCCAGGACCTTGTCAATGGCACCAGTAGATATTCTTCTTCATCGTCTTCATCCTCTCTTTTGAGACAGTCTCTCAGAACCCAGTCTGACTTTGAATTCCTATGTAGCCAAGATCACTCTCAACTCCTGCTCCTACCACTCCTCCGTCCCTCGTGCTAGGATCACTGGTGCAGGCCACCATTCCTTGAAGATACATTTAGCCCAGGCTAAAACTTGCTATATATCCAAGAATGATATATAATGACTGAACCTCTGATCTTCCTGCCTTCAGAGTGCTGAGAATACAGACTTACACCAACACACTAGTGTTATATAGTCCTGAGGATTGAAATCAGAGCTTCATACATGCAAGACAAACACACTATCAACCAAGCTACATCCCCAGGCCCCAGATATTTTCATTTTTAAAAGATTAAAAATCTATTACTATCTTTAATTCCAGCAACTGGAAGGCAGAGTCAAAAAAATTGGACTGGGAGTTTAAGGCCAGCCCAGACTACACACTAAGACCATCTTAAAAAACCAAAGCCGGGCAGTGATGGTGCCTTTAATCCCAGCACTTGGGAGGCAGAGGCAGAGGGATTTCCGAGTTCAAGGCCAGCCTGGTATACAGAGTGAGTTCCAGGACAGCCAGGACTACACAGAGAAACCCTGTCTCAAAAAACCTAAAATAAACAAACAAATAAAACAAAACCACTATTACTGAAATCTCTAAATATTAACTCAAAATGCTTCAGAGAGCAGCTCTGCTTTTGTTAAGCAAACCACAGAACACAAACCAAGTAGTTCTAGAACAACAGACTCCCAGTTAGGCAGTGGTGGCCACACATGTATGCATGCACGCAAACACACACAGGACTCCCAACCCAGAGGCATTTGAAATGCGGGATAGTTTGAAGTGTTATAGCATCTGGAAGGATGAATGGCATTTAGTGGACAAGGACTCAGAAAGCAAAAAGTTCTAAGGTTCTCAGGTCTTGGGGGAAAAAGAACTGCCCAGTCCCAAAGCAGTCATATTAACAAGTGCCACCCTGACCTGGGATAAAACAGCACCTGATCCTGCCCACTTATGTAACTAATACGTGTGGGCCAACCACTGTCCTAGGTACTTTAAGACAACAAAATATTCTCTCTTCAAACTCAGAGGAAGACTAAGCAAGGAACCCTGACTGGCTGGGTAGAGCCTGTTCTGGCTCCCAGAAAACAATAGCATTTTTCTAACACAGCAGGGCCCAAGCCTCACCTTCGGGACACCAAGCCCATGCCCAGCCTTTCAGCCTGCTCTCGCTTCTTTCCTTCAAGGTTCTGTAGCTTTTTCTCCTCCTTCTTGCGATCAATCTGGAGCTCCTGGTAGGCCAGACGCATGGAGGCAACCCTGGAGGGAATGAACACTCAGAGGCTGCCATCCATGCCACTTGCCACCAACCCCCACACAAGCCAAGGGCACCACAGCAATCACGCACATGGACTCTTCTGCCTGCTTCTTGGCATCAGCTGCCTGCTGCTCTCGGAGCTTCTCTGCCACCTGGGCCTGCCGCTCAATCTCAGTAAAGCTCTGGTTGCTCACCTTCTGAGCTCCCAGGCCTTTCTTGGCACCCAGCTGAAGAGAAAACCATGTGATGTGGGGTCTGGCCAGCCAGTCTCCTCAGCTCCCTCCCCAGTGTGGTCACTGTAGTCACACCCACAATGAAGGGGGTCCTCCTTCTTAGGTTCAGTGAACATTCTAAGAAAACAGTGCTTCTCTAAGAGCTGTGATGAGGAGCTTGGCACAACTGCCACACAGGTCTCAGGAATGAAGGACAACAGGTAATGCTGACTGGGGTCTGCTATGTGCCAAGCTCTGTAAGTACTAGATGTGCTTGATCTTGCTTATTGCCCAGGAGTACCCTTAAGACGAGTATCTTTAAATCACTTTCACAGACAAGGTTCAGACAAGTTTTGTGCCTTTGCCAGTACATGGGAAGAATTGAAGGAGCCCAACTACAGCTCGCAACCACCCTATGACATTGCCTCATCCCACCTACCCCTTTCTTAGTTGCTGCTGGCTTCTTCTTGCCAATAATGGAGCTTTTCAGTTCTGTGTGAGGAAGAAGGTGAGCATGAGCTAGGACAAAGGATTGTCAGAGAAGGTGGCTCAGGCCACACCAGGCAGCTTCACACAAGAGCATGTAAAGAATTCCTTCAGATGGAAAGGCAAAACTGCCACCGCCAGTTCCAACCAAGAGTGCTCAAGCCAAAGACAGGCAAGGTTAGGGGAGCTCACTGATGCCTAAAATGTCACAGTAAGAGCGTAGACCCGAGGCACCAAAGACAAAGTACCCAACCAAAGTGACAATCGCTAGGCAGGGAGCTGCTCAACAGCCTCAGCTGCTAGAGCAGGAAGCTGGCAAGCAGGGCTTCCCAAACCCCTGGTTACCTCTGGTAGAGGAGGGCCCTTTAGCTGACAGATACATGGACTCTGGAGGAAAAACAGACGTGTGGCTAACAAGGGCCGGCCCCCAAAGATTCATAAAGCTCCCAAACCCAGAAGCCTATGCAGAGCCTACTTCAAAGTCTGCCTTCTCACAGAATCAGCTGGATAGTCACTGGCTTCCTGCCCCAACCCCCAAGAGTCAACAGAACAAACCAAGGTCAGCAAAGGAATTGTTTACCATAACCAAGTCTGAAGGCCACAGAGGAGTGAGAAAAGGCTGAACTTTGAAAGGACAGCACTGCCTCTAGCCATGAGCAGCTCAAAACTATCCCCACACCTCATGAAATGGACAAAACGGGCCAGTCCTACCTGACACCAGTCCCATTCCAGTCTCCCATCCTTTGGCTAGATCTACCCCTACACTCAAAATGACAGCCATCCAGGCTTGTCAGCTCAAAGGCTCTGAGGTCAGCGTGTCAGTCAAGAGCTTCAATTCCAGTGCCCACCCAAGAGGGGTCAGTTCCTCAGTGTCCTATGGTTAGTTCAGATGAGTAGGTGGCAGAGATGTGAACAAATATTTGAGGCCCACTCTCCCCAGCCTCCCCACACCTGCTAGCTGTCATACCCAGAGAGGCTTGGGGTGAGGTTCCAAGCAGATCAGTGTTGGGGCCATGTTCAGGTTCTGTGGATACAATTGACAGGAGTTACATTAAGGAGGTGGTAAACAGGCTGGCATCCCTAAGCTTGCCATCAAAAGATGTATGCCCACCCCTTCCTCCAAGGACTAAACTGAAACCTTCTCTGAACTCCTATGTCCCTGGCCAAGTGTCCATTTCCTATACCCTAGTAGTCCTTTTCCAGGCCTAGGCACTTGGTTGAGATCTGGTCTGAACTCACGTGCCAGGCTACTGCTCTCTGAAGGTAGGGCTGGCTGCTGGGTCCCTGAAGGATCCGTGGCTGCTGTATCCCAAGCAGGGGCCTAAAAAGGAAGCCAGATCACAGAGGCCTCAGTAAGCCCTCCTAAAAAAACACAGCTACCTATGGATAGGAGGCACTGCTCCCAGCTATAAGACAAGATTGGTGATTAGCAATCATACTCACCAGTTACCATGGAAGACAAATGTAGGAAAACACCATCTTCAACTTACAGCTGAGCCCATCCCCCTAACTGATAAAGCACTAGCAACTGTTACATACTGACCACGCACCAGGCACAAATCCACGGGTGCGCACATATACAAAAGGTTCAGCTTAAGTAACTGTACAGGCCCTATGAAGTAAGTATGTCTCCATTTTAGAAACTGAGTTTTTGCCAGATTGACTTGGCCACATCACAGAAACACTTGCAGAGAAGCTGGGATGTGACCTGAGGCTCCAACTTCAATACCTATTGCCAACAGAGGGGAAACCTTTCTTATAGGTGGGTCACAGGGGAGGCAGTCCTCATGGTCTCCAACTTCTGTTCTTTTTTGGAAAATATAGAAGTTGTTTAGGGTCCCTGGGACTTCTTGAGCTTTTAAACTAGTCTCTACTCCAGAATCTATTTCTAAGGAGGATTCCACAGCACTCTCATAAGAAGTAGGCAGTCATTACCAATTCCTGAACTACAAACACTCTCACCTAACACACCAATTTATGTCATGATCACAAAAGGGTATATACAGCCTTGGTAAGTAAAGCATTTATCAGAGGAAATATCCCTGTGGTGGGGCTGGAGAGATGGCTCAGTGGTTAAGAGCACTGACTGCACTTCCAGAGGTCCTGAGTTCAAATCCCAGCAACCACATGGTGGCTCACAACCATCTGTAATGAGATCTGATGCCCTCTTCTGGTGTGTCTGAAGACAGCTACAGTATATTCATATATAATAAATAAATAAATCTTTAAAAAAAAAAATATCCCTGTGGTACTCACCTGAGTATGTTCTGTGAAGAAATCAGCGTCTTTCTTCTCTGGAGAGTGACTAGGAGCACTGTTCATACTGTCTATCCAAAGCTGGAAGGGAGAAGACATGTGAAGCTCAGGGCTATTAACATTTCCTATGCCAACACCCTAACCCAGGAGCCAGCACTCACATCAGTGCCGTGCCTAGCCAGAGCCGCACTCCCTAACTGCCGGATCTTTTCTCGGTACATCTGGGCAGCTCGGCTGTTATATTTGGTGTTAGCATCGTTGGCCATACATCCATGTTGGCGGAAAAAAGCAGTCTGGAGAGCAAAGAGAAGAAGTGTGTATGTGCAAATACTCTCACCAAAGAGAACTATATTCACACTATAGGAGACACTAAACAATTTGCGTTATCATTTATATAGGATGACATATAACTGACACCAGATTTTCATAGATGTAAAGGTCTTCCAAAATTTCTTTTCAAAACAAGACAAAACAACAACAAAACCCTTAATTTTTATTATTATATGTGCACCATAGAGGACAACTCTATGGAGTTGGTTTTCTCCTTCCGTCTTTATATGGGTTCCCTGAATTGAACTCAGATGACCAGGCTCGCTCAGTACACACCTTCTTCACTCAATAACCAACCTCACTCTTCCCTCCTCCAAAATTTCTAAAAAAAAAAAAGAAAAAAGAAAAAAAGAAAAGAAAAAAGAAAGAAAGAAAGAAAGAAAGAGTGAAAGAAAGAAAAAGAAACAAAAACCCACCATGCCATCCTCTATGAGACCAGGGAATGAAATCTAGGGGACTGAAGACTATATGTACTTCTCACCCCAGCTATCCTCCCTCCAGGAGCCCACAAAACCCCAATGACTATGGAGACACAACTATATTCACTGGGCTTTTCCCGAGAGTGCCTGTCAAGTTTAGTTTGTATTTAATTAAGCCTCTTTGAAAGAAGCTGTTTACAATTTTCTGAATTTATAAAACAGTGTGTGGCATGTTCCAGAGCTGCGAGTTCTCTGAACAGAGAAACCAAACTCACTTCTAAGAAATCAAAGAAAAGTTAAGTACCCAGGCAGAAGGATAGGGGTCGAGGAAGGTAAAGGAACGTTAAGTTACCGCATTGGCATTCCCGCCGACCTGCATACATCTCAGCTGCAACCAGTTCCAGTTCGAATCCAACTCTGTGGACCTGTGTAAAAGGGCTGAGTATCACCTACCCATTGACACCAAAACATGCTTCCCTGTCAAGACTAAACCTGTTATTTGGCCTCAGGCTTCTGTGGGTGTCCATGAACCATCGGTCACTGCCCCATTTCCTCCTCTCTTCCCTATATTTGAAATCATTGCTCTTCACCCAATCCAAAGGGTACTAATTATTTCTGAAAAGGAGATTAGAAAGGAGGTCGACTTCTCAGGAATGCAGGCACCGGTTTGACTCCTCTCTAAGAGGGTCAAAGTCGCACTGGAGACCTATTGGGCCAATCCTTCTGCAATAACAAGGTCAATGCATCTAAGTTCCCCCAAAACTGATGCTGAATATCATGTTAACCATGAGGAGAGAAGACTACAGAGGTGCCCCCCCCCCAAACTCCCCTCTGTAGGCTAGCAGAACTCCCGCCAGGAGGTATCCAAACACCAAATTCAGAAAGGTGGTCCAAGTCCAGTTGTCCTCTTCCCGTCGCTGACCATACATATAGCCCCTGTGGAGGCACAGCACTATCACACAAACCTACCTGATAAAGCTGAGATGGACACCCAAGGAGCGATGCACTCCGGAGCAGTCAATACACAAAAATACACCATACGTGATGCTGGCCCAACTAGGACTCTTGGCACCACAATCGAAACAGGCCTAAGAGGCGACAAGTGAATGATTAAGGCCCAGAGTCGAGGCCCAGCGCTAGAAACCACAAGAAAGCCTCCAACCTCCGTCCCCGCCCTCCCTCAGACCCCAGGGGTCAGGAGACGTCTTCTCCGCCGGCGCTAGGATCTGTGCCCCTCCTGCTCAAGCACCTTGTTGGTGGGAATTGCGCGAAGCCTCTTAAAAATAGTCTGGATTTCGGTCTTGCTCGGGCCCGCCGCCATTTTCTCTCCTTCCCAGATACCACCGCGACCGACAGGTCCCGGCGCGGGCCAATCCTCGGCGGCGAAGGCAGGCTAACCGCACCGGTCACGACAGGGCCCTGACCCGCCTACGAGTGGAGTGATTCGACCAGATCTGGGCCAGTGAACGTCGGGCGGGACTGAAACATGACGTCAACAGCAGGGAGCTCCACAATGGGCCTGAGAGTGAACGCCGCGCTGCGCCTGGCCAATCAGCAACCGGAGCGGGCGACGGCTCGTGGGCTGGCCCAAACTTCCTCGCGAGTTCCTGCTGGACGACGGCACCCTACACACCTAGTTCAACCACTGGCTGTGGGCGACAGGCAGATAGCCATGGCAACAAACACTGTGATGAGTTACTGATGGATGAATAATGATTAACAATCTCCCAAGTGCTCCTAGTCCCATCGGGAAGACATTGGCAGAGCTCCAGCTTAGCTCACAATTCAGCAACTGGCCTGGAGCAGAGGCTGGCACACAACCACCTTGATCGCAAGTCCCTTCCAGTCCAGATTACAATCCTGAAATTCCAGGGGCAGGTACCAAGAGGCAACTGCCTGCCCAATCCCAGTTTCATAACACATGGCGCGAGCACACACACACACACACACACACACACACACACACACCCTCATGCCTTCTACCAGTAAGAGTGGGGTATCAAAAGATGCTCACAACACTTGATGGGATTTTTATTCTTGATCATATTTAATACACACTACAATAAGTCACAAAAGAAGGTGCTGCTAGCCCCAAACTACATTCTCCCCAACCTTACCCCAAGAACTTAAACAGTTTAGGAACTGGATCCCCCTACTTCTGGGATGACCCAGATGCTCCTGGGGAGGCTCTCAACCCTTGTCACTCCAACCTCCCATCCTGCCCTCAACCTAAATTCTATCGTCCTCTTTCTAGACACAGATCCCTTCCCTTCATGGGCCCTAAGACTTCCTCCTGTGGGAACAGAGAGACAGCAGCAGCATATGGTTCAGGGCCTTCAGGTCCAGCAGTCCAGGAAGGGTTGAGCTCTGGCCCAGGTTAGAGAGACACTGTTGTAGGGCTGTTGGGGCACTCAGGCACCCACACATTCTACATAATTGGCAGGGTACAGACCGATGCGGCCACTCTGCAGCTGGCCCTGGCACCAGCCCTGCTCATCCTCCTCACTCATCTTCAGCAACTCCTCCCCTGGAGAGAGAGAAATCAGTCACTGCTAAAGACACTAGCTTCACTGGTCTCAAAACTAGGTCACAGAGTGGGGGATGGGATAGCACAAGGGGCTACAAACTGGAGGACACCCAACTCAGACCAGGATAGGACTCAGCCCTAAAAAGCCACCCTATCTTAGACCCCAGGGAAGCAACTGTCAGGCTACAGCTGGACCCCAAGCAGCCCTTGAGAATGGAGTCTCTGGCTTTCCTTTTCTACAGCCCTGCTCTAGCAGGTAGGGTGGGCTGAAATGGGAAGGAACACGAAAGGGCCCCAGCATACCTGCGCGGAAGCTCAGCTCATCAGCTTCCTGGCCAGCATAGTCATAAAGCGCCCGTACCCTCACCCCAGTGGCAGCTTTCCGGGGACTCTCCTCATCTGACCAGTCCTCATCCTGCCCACTACTAGAGAGGGAAACATAAGGGGACAACTCAGGGCACAAGACTGACCGTATCCAGCACTCAAGACAAAGGGCTTTGCCACTAATGAGGTGGGCGGGAAGGAGCTGAATGAACAGTCATACTGCTGTCACTCACTACTGTGAATGCAGGTCCAACTCTGTGCACAGGGCTGTTATACAGCCACGCTGTGATGGACACTGAACCATGAAGCAAATCTAAACTTCTGTGAAATTAACTCTCCCATGGTGACCCTCAGGTACTGATGTGATGGGAGAGAAGCGGTGGGAACAAGCAAGTGATAGAGCTGCTGCGTCTTTGTTTCGACCAGGATCTCAGCTCTCACCCTGGGGATGATGGGGACTGGGGTGGGGGTGCGGTGCCATCTCTTGTAGGTACAATGCTGGTCAGAGTAACCTCGTCGGGGCTCCGGCCACCCTTCTCCTTCCGGCTGATGGCTCTCTGTGTGTCTAAGGACCATTCCTGTGGAGAGATTTTAGACATTGCAAACCTTGTCATCCTTTTGGGACCCACACTGAGCCCAACCCAAGTCCCATCCAGCCTATAACACCTGCCTCAAACTGTGGCCAATTCATGGCCATGCCAGGCCCATGTGTGCTACGCCACCAGCGCAGGTCTTCTTCATCACTGGCAGCCTCGATGCCCTGCTGCAGGTCTCGATGGAGTTCATGGAACCTATGAGGCACTCAGTCAGACAGGGAAGGCCAAAGCCCCTAGAACTTCAAGTCATGCAGCCCAACTGAAACCCAGAGGTCAGGGGGAGTGTGCTGGCCATACTTGTCACCCAGAGGTCAGGGGAATATGCTGGCCATACTTGTCACTACTGGAGAGGTCAAGGTGCTGATGCAAGGTGAGCAACACATCCTTGAAGAAGAGAAGTCGCTGGCGCTCAGCAGCCTGGCAGCTCTCAAAGGCCTGCTCCATGTCCTCCATGTAGCGTGGCGTATAGCGATTTAGCTCTGCCAGGGTCTGCTCATACTGGGTTTTCGTCTGGGTGAGAGAGAAGGGAGGCAGTAAGGACAGATGCCTTCCACTCAGGCCTACACCAGTATTCACTGAGCATAGCCACAGGCTAGACCTGAAGCTAGCCACCAGGGGCAGTCAGGTCTGGAACTCACTTCCAACCCTCAGGGACTGACAGAAGCAGCCTAATAAGGGAAGTGACACACAAATAAACACCTAGAAGAATCTGCACGGATCGAAAGAGAGGGTCAGTCTAGGTGATAAGGTGAGATAAGTCAAAGTAGGCTTCCTGGAGGAGGTGTTATAGAAATGACACCCCTCAGGGAGGATGGAATGCTAGAGAGAAGGGCACTCGGGGCAGGGGACAGAGTATGCAATATGAGAACTGATTCCAGGCAACTAAGTCCCCAACTGCCTGAAACCCAGCCATTACTTTCTTGGGTTAAAAAAAAATGCCTTTTTTCAAAATCCCATTCCTCTCCTAGGTCAAACATCGTATCTCCTCATGTTTCTCTGTGGGTGTGCGTACATGTGCGTGTGTATGTGGTGGAGGCAGAATGTCAACATGGCGCACCTTCCTCAGTTGCTCATAGCCCTTAAACAAGCTGGCCATCCAGGTCCAGGAATCTGCCTGTCCCATCCGTCCCCGGCACACACCCATTCTGACAATTCCCCTTTACCACTGCAGCTGCCTTCCCTAGCTTCTGCCTTCACAACCAGCACTTCTCCAACTAAGCTATCTCCTCAGGCCCAAGTTCCTCCTGTTTGTTTGTTTGTTTGTTTGTTTGTTTGTTTGTTGAGACAGGGCCTCACTATAGTAGCCTTTGTTGGCCTGGAACTCCATGTAGACAGGGCTTGTCTCTATGTAGACCAGGATAGCCTCAAACCTATAGAAATCCACCTGCCTCTGCTTTCTGAGTGCTAGTATTAAAGTGTGCACCCCGACGTCCAGCCCAAGTTTTAGTGTTAAATAATCATCTCAAAAAGGGTCTGAGAAGGCATCCAGGAAGCTTTGTCGGGGGACCGTACCTTCTCTGCCTCCTTGGTGCAGCGTCCCACCCGCTCCTGTAATTTTCGAAGCTGCTCCTGGGACATGGAGCTGTCTGCCTTCGCGTGGCTCTCCCGGGTCTGGGCTGTCTTCTCATCCTTGCGGGCTGTGTGGTAGCTCTTCTTAGAAGCCTCAACCTAACAAGCATGACAACAACTCCGAATCCTAGACACCACACCCTGGTCCCATGCAGACCTGGAAGGTGCCTGCCTCCAGTAAGCACTGTTCCTGGTCTCACCTCCTTCAGCCTCTTTAGCCAAGGCTTCTGGGCCTTACGGAAACCATCCTCTGCAGCCCGACTTTCCCGAAAGCCCCCCAGCACTGGCCGGTGGAAAGCTCCGCGCTGCCAGGTCCGCACTCGCTCGCTGTCTGGACCATGCAACTTCTCCCTCACCTCCAAGTGCAGCTCACTCAGCCGCTCAGCCGCAGTGAAGAAGGCATGCCAGGCCTTCTCCAGAGTGCCGTATTGTGGGCCTGCAGAGGGATGAGCTTGGGCCAGGTGGGGTTGCTATCTTAAATACGACCTTCCCCTCTCCCCGCATCCTGCTCTGGGTGCCAGACAGGGGCATGGTAGGAGTTGGCATGCAAAGCTGAGGAGCAGCAACGTCAAGGGCTGCGTTAGAATTCCCTACTCAGCCCTGACTTGAGCAAGCTCATGAACCCTCACCTTCACCACTACCATGGGGGCAGTGCCACTGTCAAAATGGAAAGGGCAAAAACAACTAACCTAGAGAAGTTAGGTTAACTTGTCCAAAGCAGAGTAAAGCCAAGTCTGCTGCACAAGCTCTATATGCCTGGGATCTCTCTACCCAGATAAAAGACCTGCTCCACATTTAGCTTTGCCTAGCTGTGACTTCAGGCAAGTCCCTTCTCTGACCTTCACTTCTGTTCTAGAAAACAGGTGGAACAGGAACATAGATCCCTCTTGTCATGCATACTTGAGGTCTTAAATTCCATCCCCAGTACCCACAAAACCTCAAGAGGCTGTTCTGAGGCTCCCACCCTCATAACCTGTGAGGCCTTTGGTAGGCCTGCATACTGGCTCACCCTTCTCGACAGCACCCCTCCACTTGCGGGCCCAATCAGCCAGCTGCTGGGCATAGGCCTTCTCAATGCGGGCACGTTCTTGGAAGCAGCTAATCAGGTCCCCACACAGCCTGTGCCCATCCTCAACCCTCTGTACCGTCCGTCTGTAGTTGCCTGCCTAGAGCACAGAGGAGAGATGGCTTTATCAGCCCCCTTTCCAGCTGGGGCTGATAGCTAGGCTACTCCCCTGGACAGGTGGCTGAGCCCAGAAAGAGAGGGACAGTTTACTGCCACACCAAACCCAGTCCCCCAACTGCTTACCTCCCAGAAACTGCCCCCTAAGACCTCCCCTCCAGCATCCTCTTCTGGAGCCATGGTATCCCTGCAGCACGGAATGGTGGCAGATGTGATGCTGTGGAGGGCAGGTAATTAAGCAAAAAGTTGAGACCTGAGGTTGGGGGCTGGGAAAAGACCTTCTAACAATCCAAAGCACCACCCAAGGAACAAGCAGAGGAATGGCCGAGCAAGAAAGAGCTAGAAGTCCCCAGGAGAGAGGCAAAGACAAAGATGGCAGCTTCCAAGTTCCCTTCTCCCTCTGGATCTTCCTATCTCAGTCCATCCTCTACATACCTGGGGTCTCCAGATCACTTCAAGGACCCGTGTCCAAGTCTTTCCAAGCTGCCACTATGTCTTGACGTTAACAAGAGCACAGAAGGGAGTAAAGAGTGGGAGCCTCCAGTGTCCAGGGCGGTGCCCAGTGCCCCCAATATAGCAACTGCTGTCAGAAGTGCCAGATTCCAGGCCGAGAATGCCAGACCGGTCACACAATCCAGTAAGGGATTAGGTGACAGACAGGGGTGGGTGGCGGGCAGAAAGCCCCACACTCCTACTTTAGATGAGAAGAGAACTCTTGCCTAACTAGGCCCCTTGGATGACAAGGCAACCCCATGAACAAACCAGTCCAAGTGAGAAGGTACCCTGTCACAGCCCCAGCAACTGTCCATGCTGAGCAGAGTGGAAAGAGAGCCAGAAGGCCCGGACTCCATCATGGACAACTGTGTTTTACTGCCCTAAGGGAGCCTCAGCTCACTCTGAGGTGGAAATTCCCCCACCAAGTTAGCATCCATGCTATGACTGATGTAAAACCCAAAACTAGGCAATGAACTGGAAACACTTGAAAGATCCATCATTCATAAAGGGACACTTGCCAGCCCCAACCACCACACAACATCCAGAAGTGTCCTAAAGGGTCCTGAGATAACAATTCCATTCTGCTTTCAAAAAGCCCAGGGTGGGGCATCATGAACAGCCAGCAAGCCAAAGTGAAATTGAAAATTTACCCCCAGAGTCATTTAGAGTCTCTCTGTCTCTGTCTCTCTCTTTCTCCCTCCCTCCCTCCCTCCCTCCCTCCTGGCCAGTAGAGGACAGAGTGACATGCAGCCTCTTGCCTTCAGGCAAGGTCTCAACTTTCCCCAGTACCAACTGACTCTTAGTCCATAGAAGAAAATTGCTTTCTTCCCTGAGATATCTCAAGGCATAAGGGACAACTGGGTCAAGAGGACAAGAGTATGACATTGAAGCAACCAAAGCAGGACTCTGACACAGTGCTCTCTAAACTGGTAAACCTCTACTCACTCTCAAAACTCCAAACTTTACTACGCCTTCCTCAGGGCCCCCATAGCCCCTGTGTTCCTAGTCCTACTATACATCCCATACATTGTGACTGGGTCTGTCCCAAGTCATTGACAGACTTCTGCAGTTTCAGTTCACAATACCCCCGGGCAACTAGAATTGGTAACAACTAACTCAGAAAACAAGGGACTGGAGGCCTAGCTCAGAGATAGGACATACTTCAGGCCAGAGGTTCGGTCCATCATCAGCACCAAAAAGGAAAGAAGAATGTCCCATCTGAAGACCAGAAAAGCTGCTGTCTACAGCAGCTCTGAGAAAAGCCTGGTCTAAGCTGACTTCCTACTTCTGCTGGCAGGAGGGAGACCGGCCTCTTCCCTAGGACCCCATTAGCCTACAGGCAATGAAGATCCCTGGACACAGAGCAAACTGCCCCCTGGCCCCCCACCCCAGGCTCCACTAGCTCTCCACCTTGTTTCCTCTTGAGTTAGCCCCACTTGTCCAGAATGGCTTGCCAGCCAGATTGGGAAGTAAAGAGGTAGAGCAGTAATTATAAATTACTGGGCCTTGGGAGCTGCCCCAGTGAACCAACCAGGACCTGGGGCCCCTGCCTACTCAGTCTCCCTGCTCTTGGCTCCCAGGAGAAACGCCCCCAACCCATTCCTTCTCCCTGGCACCAGAACAGAGCAGGCTGTGTGTGTAGTGCTGGCACCGCTCCCTCAGGCCTCACAGAGAAAACACAAGCTGGAGCCCCAGGCACAGCCAGGCCCGGCACCTCAGCTTCATCTAGCTCTGGGGGTGGACCTGGCACCTTGGTTCATGTTGAGGATTGCCATCTTGTGCCTCCTGACATTAGCAGAGACCCACATCTGAGTAAACACATCCTACCACAGTAAGAGCTCAGAGAGTAAGAACAGGTAGTTAAAATCTTTCCAGCTCAGGCCCTCCACCTAGCCTGTCAGAGAAGGCTTCTGGAACACTGGCAGGGTCTCAGCCACTAGCGCTGAACTGGGAGTTCTGGGCTTCAGGACAGAGCCCACTCTCCCTACCTGAGCTTCAAAGGCTTCTGCTTCAACTCTCTCTTACACAGAAGTCAGCCCCCACCCTTTTCCAGTAGCTGGGGACACAGGCCTGGAAGAGTGCAAAGCCACCCTGCCCAGCCCAGTCCTGTATCCTGAGTCACAGGCTGCGCCCAAGGGCTTCCCCAGCAGCCTCTCCCAGCCAGCCTGTAGACCTAGGATTTGGAGGTGCAGGAGAGGGGCACCTAAAATCAAGAGACTGGCACAGTCTTTTGGAAGGCTGGGGGAGGGGGTGGCTTAGAGAAAAGGGGAGGAGGCAGAGCCAGGGAGGGGCATAACAAAGGGGCACTTTTGGAAACCCGACCTGCCGGCTGAGGTGCCTGCTCTCTGATGACGCACTCCTAACCTCGGAGCCTCCACACCAAATCACAGAACCCAGGGGCTGCCGGTCTTTGGCCTCCACCCTTATAGACAGCGCCACCCGACAAACCACCTCCGAATCCCAGAAGGCTCGGTGTTGAACAACTCCAAGCCGGTGGAGCCAGCCACACCGATAGGCATAGCCAGGCCTAGACATGGAGGCTCTAGGACTTCTTGGACAAACTTGTTGAACTTGGTCTCGGTGGGGAGGTGGGGCCAGCTGGTTACTGCAGCGGAGAAGGGGCGCTGCCTACTAGGGTTAGCTATACAGATGGAGGCGTGAAGGGGCGGGGGGGGGGGCGGGCTTTTTACAGAGGCCCCTTCTAGGGTTCCAGAATGGGCGCGAGGAGAGCAGTTTGGGACCCTCTAGGGGCCCCAAGAGATGACTTGCTCCTCCAGCGTGGACGCCGCATTTCCCCTGGCTGGCCTGAAGAAACGCCTAATTAGCGTAGGAGATGAGATGGCCTTGCTCTCAGTGGCAGCCAATGGCCAGGGTCTCCCGCGCGGGAGTCCGTCCCATTGCCAACTTCAGGAGTCGTGGAGGACCAGAGAGCAAGCTAGAGTCACCGCGCCACCGCCGTGTCCCCCAGCATCCCCTCCAAAGCACTTACCGTGTCCTCTCAGGGGTCCTCGGTGGGTTAGGGGGATCTGGCCACGCTCAGTCCGGAGTCCTACCACTCCCGGGTCCGGGCCACCGCCTCCTGGAGCGCTTCGGGCCCTCCCCCGGGAAGCCCGGCCCCCCGGGCCCGCCCTCTCTGCGGAGCCGCCGCCCCAACCCCACCAACAGCATCCCCGCGGCGGGGACTGCAGGCATCCCTGTGCCAGGTGGCTTGGAATGCATGCTATAGGATCTGTTCCCCATGATGCAGAGAGGGCCAATAGTCTAAGGTGGAATAGCGAAGCTACGGGAGAGCTAGATTTGAGCTTTGTCGTTCTCCAACCTTTCCAGAGCCTGGGACGCCGGTGGGAGTGAGCGGGAACTTGCACACTAATCACTGAGGTCGGATTCGAGGACAATGCTGCATTACATTCTTTGCTGAGGGCACCTTTCTTAGAAATTAGCTACGGGGAGACAGGTTCACAACTACCCACTCCTTATAAACGTTTGATTTACACTGACATGAATGAGGCTTAGAGACACCTTCAGCAGTTTACCCAAGATCTCTAGTCCTGCAGAAGCGAGACTAGAAAAGCCATTTCTACCTAGAGCAGCTCTGCGTGCAGCTCTAGCGCGCATTCCGAGACCTGAGACAAAACACGAAATCCCTAGGTCTCACCTCCTAGTTCAATGTAGACTTTTCCCGAATCCTCACGATGCCACCCCACCCTAAATAGATCCCTTCTTCACTACCCCACCCCCAACCTCTCGGGATTTCAGAGCCTGTGGGTCTGTTATTTATATCCACTGGAGCGGTCCAAGAATGTTCTGAGGCTGACCTAATCGCCACCTGCTCGGCGTCCCCGCCCCTCCTGCTCTCTCCTGAGCCGGTTGACCCAGCAGTGGTGCCCCGAACCCGAGAGACAGAAGGGAACGCGGGCTAGCAGGGTCCCAGCCTCTGGTGCTCAGGGGTCCTGGAGTCACAGTTCGCTCCGGGTTGGAGAGCCCAAGGGACCGCCCCTTAGGGGACCGTGCGCGCTCTGGGAATTAACCGGCCTAGCTGCTCTCTTTCCAAGCACACACATTTCTAACCCAGCCTCCTCCACTCCCTTAGAAGTGTGAGTACGTGCGCGCGCGGATTTTTAAAAGACAACTTTAAAAATAGCAAAATCGTGTTGTTTCTAAATCTGGAAGGAATCACTGACGTGTTCTTTGCTCAGTAGAGTTCACTCACAAAATGGAAAGAGGGGCTGCTGAGGATAACGGTAACTTAGGAGGGACACCAACTGTTGGGGGCTAATATAGGAGCGTGAAACTGTCTCTTTTAGTTGCCTGTGTTGTCACAAAGACGCGCGTCACCCGTGGCCTGAGGACTCTGGCCCCGCGGGTGAAGCAAATCTCGAATAGGAGATTTGAAACCTGAGGATGTGGTTTCTGAAACCAATTTCAACACCCACTCTTTCAAGGCTTGGGCAAATCTTTTCTCTTTATCTCTTTCTGCCTGACAGGTAACCCAGCTGACCTACCACTGGGCCGTGTGCCCTAGTTAATTAATGATTGTTAAACAACTGCAAATGAGAGGGGCTTGGGAAATGTCTAATCACAGCCATGGTGCTTTGCAGTATTTGGAATCAGTTAACATCGCACCTAGCGCCTGGGGGCGTTTAGGCACCTAGACAGAATGTGTGAAAATACAAGAATGAAATTAATTACAGAAGCAGCCTATTAAAACCTCATTAAAAATAAAGTTGGCAGCCAGGCTCTGGGATGTGAGGAAGTCAGGATATAGAGGCTCAGGAAACAAGGCTGTTCATCAGACCACAGGGAGAAGAGGATGTGCAGTGGAAAACATCTGGATTCCCCTGGGTTCAAATCTGCAATCGGAAAGCAGAAATGTTGCAGCTGATCTTAATTGTCCCTAAGGTACTGGGAGGGAGCGAAGGACAGAACATTGTGAGCTGTAGGTGAAGGAAACAGACATGTGCTCAGGACCCAGCTCTCAGCTCCTACTCCCCCAGGGGCTCAGATTTCTATGCCCTATGAACAGACTCCTTACACAGTGCTTCAGTTCAAGATCAGATGCCCAGGCCCAGAGGTCCGAAGACAGAAACCCAGCAAGAAGCCACTTGGCTCAGAGTACCAGGTGCCAGGGTGTTCTACAGCCAAGTTTCAGGACAATCGACCTCACCTTGAATTTCTGGAATGTCCTAACCACTGAGCCTTCATTTGTTTGTTTATTCACCTGAGGAAACATTTGGATTTTTGCTTTATGTTAAACCCTACCCCAGGTTTTGGGACTATATAGAGAAAT